AACTTATAAAATGATTTTTTTTTAATTTTGTCTTAAAACTATGTATTACAAATAAAACAATCTAATAAACTTTAAAAAAAAAAATTACTTAAGATTTCTCTAAGGCATATTTATTGAAATATTGTTAATTTGTTTATTTGAGAAAAAATGAAAAATATTTGATACAAAGCTTTAATTCAGTATGTGTAATTATGCATTCACAATTTTAAGCTAAACATAACATTTTCTTTGAAATTATATATTGCATAAAAAATTATTTCTTTAAAATACTAAATAATATACTTTTGTTTTAATTAATTCGTATAAATTAAAGAAATAAAGTTATATAGTGGGTCATGACCCTTTAAAAAAAGCGAAAACTTTTTAGAATATCTGTCTAAATACAATAAATTAAATTAGATAGCTGCATGCCAGATTTTTTTCAATTTTTTTGGAACCACTAAAAATATCTCTGCTATATCTGGTGGATTTTGATTTAAACATATTTTATTGAACACAATCAATGGGATTGGACACAAGTTATGCTAATTTAGACTGTCCTCCCCAACACAAACAAAAATAAAATATTTACATCTGATGTACAAGCAACAAATCTGGTGGATTGATATTTGAAATATGGTAAAACATTGTAATAAGTAGAAATATATTTGTATATATAAGGCCATTTCAAAATAATTTTTTTCTTAAATTGTTGCAGATATTTAGGTGCTGAATTACAAATAAGGTTGTTTAAAAAACAAATAAAAAATTATAATGTTTTGAAAACAAATTACAACATTTGATTTTTTTCCTTCGAAATTTATATTGTATCAGGATTTTAGATGTATGGAATTGAACATATTTTATTGTAATATATATATACAATGGGATCATGTATGGAAAATGAAATTGAGGTTAATAATTATTTTAAAATGCAGCAACTGAAATTTTTTTAAGATTATGTAGATATTAAACAATCAAGACATTCCAAAATATCAGGCCATGCAGATGAGTCTTTGGTGATTTCAAAATATCTTTCTTGACTAATAAAATTCTTAATAATAAAAAATGTACGTAATACCAGTATAGAATCACCATATGTAATCAATAATTCCCTCAATAAAATGTAATATTTAAGTTGATAATATGCACTCTTATCACTATGTCTATGTTTACACGTAAATCAGGTCAATCAGGGCATTCAGAAATCAGGACATTATACCCCCCTACAAACTTCAAAAGTGATTTCGGGTAATATATAAAACACTTTTTCACCCAGACTTAATTAAACTAACTTCATATATCACTCTTAAAAGATATTTTATCAAATATTAATATTTAAATAATCTTAAATTGTGTTTATTAGAGGTTTTTATACTATCAGGTCATCAGGTCATTATACCCCAAAATCAGGACATTATACCCCTGTCAAATTTCTAAGTCAAATAAAACATACAAAAATATTTTGATCCTGCATTTTCTTCATGGTTCTGAAAGAAAATGATAATATTAATCATTTCCAATAAAAAAATATTGTTAATGTGCATAAAAACTCTTTATTTCGGCATATATATGAAATCAGGTCAATCAGGGCATTATACTATCAGGGCATTATACCCTCCCTCCAGAAAGGACAATTATTCATTGGTTTGTTGTGATCACGTGACCATTATAGAAGGTTATATATATGAGCAGCAAACGCCAGTTTCAACACGAAGATCGTAACGATCAGATCATATTACGTCATCAAAATTACTGACTGTAAATTACTAGCGACTTAGGTATAAGAAAATAATGTAAACTAATACAAATTAAGTAGCGTATAATTTCTCCACCGCACGGACACCGCAATCCACTGTATTTTATTAGGCCAGAGATGTTAAGCTAGGACTTAGACTCATATCATAGACCTAAAACGAAGGGACCGCCGACTTATGACGTCACAATCACTATCTTCTTGCGCTTGCAGCGCCCTCACCGGGATGTATAGAAACAGACTTCCTGTAATGAAATCAATGTTGTCGCATCGTGATTTTTTGAATTCTTTAAGGAAATAACAACAAATTAGAAAAATCAATCACTTATCTAAGCTTTCCATGACGAAATGATCTCGATTGACTACTTCGGAACTTATAACTTTACGTTGTGGAGTCGATGGAAACGTTTTAATTGCAGACATCAGCTGGCTATGACGCGACATCTCTTGAATGCTGTCGATTATATTTTACGGTAGTACATAATTTATGTTCTTATTTAATTTACAAAATAATGAAACAATTTTCTACTAATATTTTAAAACAACGACCAATTTCATATCTATGCTGAATTGATATAAACTGATAAATAATAAATACATCGTGAAGTGCCGTTTAACAACTTAATAAATTGAGATGTTCCCGTTGGCCGTTAATGATCTACATAATTATGTATTTTTAAAAAGTAAGTTATAACTCTTAAAAGATTTATTTAATCGTGTTAATTCAGGATTACAGCATTGTCAGTGACCAAAAGATTTTCTAAGAGATTTTTTATTTTATTTTTCCCTACAGGATTTGTAGATAGCCTGTCCACTTTTCAAATGAAAATAGGGGTCTTGCCTTGCACACCAAACTCTATGGAAAATGTTTGAGAACATGTACCATGCCATATACCATCTGGTATGATAAGTCAAATGTGAAAGATCAATGATTGGTTACAAACCTGCACAGGAAGTGCCAAGTGGTGTGTCCCATGTATGCACGGATGAGTTGGATGGATTTCAATGATTTAATTATCATGTTTAAAACTCAATTTTTTTTCAAATATACTGTGTATATCCAGATTGTGATTATTATTAACTTTTGTATATCATAACTCAAAAGACAAACTGCATCAATATAAATATTAAATAATTTAATATGACTGTAATGAAATATTATCAAAATCATTGTTAATATATTTTAGACTTTTCCATTTTTTTATTTATTAAAAAGGTTATTCAAATTAAAGCAGTGAAAAGCACTGATAATTAACATTAATTGTGCATGGTTTAAAATTGTATATGAGAGTTACTTCTTGAAATTTTTGAAGGTGATTTTACACTTTAAAAAGCCATCCTTTTCTATAGTGAGTTTGTATAAGTGAGCACTGTCTTTTTAAAATAATTATTTTCAATGTAATCAATCACAACTGCAAAGTACAAAATAATAATCTCTGAGCATCATCTTCAATCTTATCAGCAGCCTTGAAGAACAAACACTAGCAAGTAATTATTTTATATATACAAGTTCTACTGCCACTATGATTAAACTGTTTGATCTTTAACCCACTGCCTAAATAGAAGTTTTAATAACTTATTAACTTACTGTAGCTCAAAACACACAGGCACTTGTAAATCTTAATTCTTTTTTTTTTTTTTTTTTTTTTTTTTTTGTCTTTTTATGAAATTATACTCCATATACCTTGTTATGTAGTAAAGGAAAATATTCTTTTTTTAATTAAAAGAATCATATTTAAATGGGATCAACTATTCTTTATTCATTTTTTTTTAGAAGATGCATATCAAGTTTGTGCGCATAAATATTGAACTACCTTTTAGCCCTATGCTAAATTTCAAACCCATAAAAAGTTTGACAGGCAAAAAAAAAAAAGGGAAAATGTGTCAATTTCGTACAAACTCGAAAATCCTGTCGGGGGGGGGGGGGGGCCGGGGGGGTGTTGTTGTTAGGATCGAACTTCTTTTAGTACCAGATTTTTATCAAAACACTACCACTTTGGCACTTATCCATTTGTTGGCTTAAACTATAAGTGCCTGTCGAAATTGGGGAAGGGGGGGGGGGGGCTAAACCCACGCCCCACTGATCAATGCCTACATCATATCTTTGTGAAAAAATGGGGGGGGGGGGGGGGGGCTATAGGCTTGTCAAAGAATACTCGTATTATAAATTTCTACCTCCTTACTCGTGTTACTGTACCATAGTCATGATAGGGTGCCACATGAGGGGTCTTGCGAACTATCAGCGTTGTCAAACACTGCTGTTAATCATAAGATCTTTAATTGCTCTTTAAAAAATCCACGTATTAATAGGCCTATCTGTTTCTTATATATGAACTTTTTTCATCGAGCAGCATCTTGAGCAACCTTGCATGCATTTTAACAGCTTCTCTGTGATCATGGTACGTGATCATCTGTCATGTTAAATACTCAAATTGTATAGCTTTTTTACACAATAAAAACAAGATAAATACCTCAAAAGCTGTTCAAGGAACTCTTTAGTGTATAAGTAAAAAGAATTTGGTACATTCGGCAAAAGTTTAATTCATTCAATGCTATAATATCTCGACAATGTAGATGTAAATAACGTTATCTTTGTAATGCCTGATGTTTTCTATGCATCCCGGTGAGGGCGCTGCAATCGGAGGGAGATCGTATAGTGATATCTATTGTGACGTCATAGGAGTCGGCGGTCCCTTCGTTTTAGGTCTATGCTCATATAGATGTATTGATTGTTTTGTTATATTTCATTGAAGTCTTTATTAAATGAAATATTTGAAACGAGAAATGGAACTTGGTTATGATTTACAGGAATGTGAAGTAAATTATTTAGGGTGTTTAAATACATGTGACGGGCTGAGGATGCCCCCCCCCCCCTTTTTTTTTTTATGTGGACGGATGTCATGAGTAGTCCTGATAAAAGTTAACTGAATTTACACGGGATGGAAACATTGTGAGCTGATTGGCATTTGACAGGGTGCCAAGGAAGCTTACAATAAAAATCAATGACACAACTTTTAAATTTTACCTTGTCCACAAACTTTAAGTAAACCCTCATAATACACCCTTTCATAGTATGCAATCATTTATCAAATATAAGCCATCATCGTTTTTTCCTAGTCTAGATTTCATTTATACAAACAGGTTGTCTCAGTGTGCCAACATGTATAATATTTAATAGTGAATATTCATGTAACCAAACTCTGTAGTAGACCAGGATAAGGTATAATGGCATTTTTACCAGATCTTACAGAGGGAACAAACATACCATGAACATTTGCAATCTCCTTGCTTTGTCGTTCTCCATAATGATCATCGTATTTTGATTCCACTCCTGTGGCTAGTGCAACTCTGTTAAGCCATCGCTTCTTTTCATGTTCTTCATTACGAAATCTGTCCTCCCACATTACATCCACATAACTGGTATCCTTGGTAACCCATTCATAATTTGTTTCCATGGTAGCTGTGGTGACCCTTGTGACCTTTGTAGGGTTGGTGGTAACTTTAGAAGTGTTGTCATAGAGTAGGACTTTTCTTCCAGTTTTGTTGTTTCCTGCTTTGTCAAATGCTGAGAAATGAATAGAGTACATCCCTGGTGCTGGCAAGTCAAAGGATTCCTGAAATATAATTTAAACAAACTTCAAAACTGCATGTATCTCCCTTGGGGGGGAAATTAAGATGGCCATACAAGAGGCCCATGGGCCACATCGCTCACCTGAGAAGCTTTGACCATTCTGTTCTTTACCAGATTTTCCCCTTGTAATACATATTGCGACCCCACCCTATCTAACTCTGATAAATTATATGGTTTGTGTCTCTTTTGAATTTCTGATTCTCAGAATATTGTGTGTTGTTTGTCTGTGTTATCTGAAATAACTTCGATGTATTTTTTTTTACTTTTGAAGTACTTTCATGAGTTTCCACTGATCATAATTTAGACAATTTGAAATCTACACTACCCCAGGATGCTTCCACATAAGTTTCAGCTTTTCTGGCCCACTGGTTCTTGAGAAGATTTTAAAAGATTTGTCCTATACATGTATATTTCTATGTAAAACTTGGATTCCCCATTGTGGCCCCGACCAACCTCCGGGGGTCATGATTTGAACAATTTACAATCTACACTACCCCAGGATGCTTCCACATAAGTTTCAGCTTTTCTGGCCCACTGTTTCTTGAGAAGAAGATTTTTAAAGATTTGTCCTATATATTTCTATGTAAAACTTGGATTCCCCATTGTGGCCCCGCCCTACCCCCAGGGGTCATGATTTGAACAATTTAAAATCTACACTACCCCAGAGTGCTTTCAAAGAAGTTTCAGCTTTTCTGGCTCAGTGGTTCTTGAGAAGAAGATTTTTTAATGACCCCACCCTATTTTTGTCTTTTCTTGATTATCTCCTCTTGTGAGGGGACTTGGCCCTTCATTTTTACAATTTGAATTTCCCTTCACTTATGGATGCTTTGTACCAAGTTTGGTCAAAATTGGCCCAGTGGTTCTTGAGAAGAAGTCGAAAATGTGAAAAGTTTACAGACGGACAGACAGACAGCTAGACAGACAGACGGACGACGGACAAAATGTGATCAGAAAAGCTCACTTGAGCTTTCGGCTCAGGTGAGCTAACAAGGGGTGTATGTTTGTCCAAATTTTCATTCTAGTGAGACTTCTTTAAACCCCTATTGAACTTGCAGTTGGGTGCAAATAAAACAAGAGGCCCATGGGCCACATTGCTCACCTGAGAAGCTTTGACCATTCTGTTCTTTACCAGATTTCCCCCTTGTTATCCCCACCCTACCCCACTGATCAAAATTTAGACATTTTGAAAACTACACTACCCCATGAACTTTCCATGGGCACAAATGTTTCAGCTTTTCTGGCCCAGTGGTTCCTGAGAAGAAGATTTTCAAAGATTTTTCCTATATATTTCTATGTAAATCTTTGATTCCCTATAATGGCCCCACCCTTCCTCTGGGGATCATGATTCCTACAATTTAGAATTTTCACTATCCAAGAATGCTTCCACATAAGCTTCACTTTTTCTGGCCCAGTGGTTCTTGAGAAGAAGATTTTCAAAGATTTTTCCTATATATTTCTATGTAAAACTTTGATTCCCCATTGTGGCCCCACCCTTCCCCCGGGGGTCATTATTTGAACAATTTAGAATCTACACTATACCAGGATGCTTCCACATAAGTTTCAGCTTTTCTGGCCAAGTGGTTCTTGAGAAGAAGATTTTCAAAGATTTTTCCTATATCTTTCTAAGTAAAACTTTGATACCCCATTGTGGCCCCGCCCTTCCCCTGGGGGTCATGATTTGAACAATTTAGAATCTACACTATCCAAGAATGCTTCCACATAAGCTTCACTTTTTCTGGCCCAGTGGTTCTTGAGAAGAAGATTTTCAAAGATTTTTCCTATATCTTTCTATGTAAAACTTTGATACCCCATTGTGGCCCCGCCCTTCCCCCGGGGGTCATTATTTGAACAATTTAGAATCTACACTATACCAGGATGCTTCCACATAAGTTTCAGCTTTTCTGGCCAAGTGGTTCTTGAGAAGAAGATTTTCAAAGATTTTTCCTATATCTTTCTATGTAAAACTTTGATACCCCATTGTGGCCCCGCCCTTCCCCTGGGGGTCATGATTTGAACAATTTAGAATCTACACTATACCAGGATGCTTCCACATAAGTTTCAGCTTTTCTGGCCAAGTAGTTCTTGAGAAGAAGATTTTCAAAGATTTTTCCTATATCTTTCTATGTAAAACTTTGATTCCCCATTGTGGCCCCGCCCTTCCCCCTGGGGTCATGATTTGAACAATTTAGAATCTACATTATACCAGGATGCTTCCACATAAGTTTCAGCTTTTCTGGTTCAGTGGTTCTTGAGAAGAAGATTTTCAAAGATTTTTCCTATATATTTTTATGTAAAACTTTGATTCCCCATTGTGGCCCTGCCCTTCCCCGGGGGGTCATGATTTGAACAATTTAGAATCTACATTATACCAGGATGCTTCCACATAAGTTTCAGCTTTTCTGGCCAAGTGGTTCTTGAGAAGAAGATTTTCAAAGATTTTTCCTATATATTTCTATGTAAAACTTTGATTCCCCATTGTGGCCCCGCCCTTCCCCCGGGGGTCATGATTTGAACAATTTAAAATCTACACTACCCCAGGATGCTTCCACATAAATTTCAGCTTTACTGGCCCAGTGGTTCTTGAGAAGAAGATTTTTTAATGACCCAACCCTATTTTTGTCTTTTCTTGATTATCTCCTCTTGTGAGGGGACTTGGCCCTTCATTTTTACAATTTGAATTTCCCTTCACTTATGGATGCTTTGTACCAAGTTTGGTCAAAATTGGCCCAGTGGTTCTTGAGAAGAAGTCAAAAATATGAAAAGTTTACAGATGGACAGACAGACAGACGGACAGACAGACGGACGGACAGACAGACAGACGGACGGACGACGGACAAAATGTGATCAGAAAAGCTCACTTGAGCCTTCGGCTCAGGTGAGCTAAAAAGCGGGGAGAAGTGTTTGCTAGACTGGGTCTTGAACCCTGGATGTTCCAACAGGATAAAGTTACAGTAAAGGTATCCTTAATTTTTATTTGCTGGTAAAGGGGGAGTGCAGATAAGAAATGACTACCCCTCAGTGTGACAAATGTACTAATGTATGCCTCCATCCACTCACTTTTCAAGCTTAGGCAGGGTATTAATTTTGTATTATATCCAATTTTATGGTTCGACACACAGCAATTATGCCCTTACCCCTGTAGCATTAAGTGCTATATCAGTTGGCATTTTGATTATCTTTCCTTGCTGCTCTCCTAACAGTTTCCCATTATGCCCTAGCTTATACACTTCATACTGGTACTTCTCCAGCCCTGACAAATCATCTGTCCAGCCTCCCCATGTCATGTCAACTTTTGGCTGAAAAAAAATTTACGCTATCATTTTAACTGTGTTGTCTTACTTTATAACCACTGCAGATGGCTGAAGTCAGTGGTACAGAAGTTATTTTTTAAATAAAATCTGATACATGTAGATATAAGCATGTGCATCACTCACATTTTCTGTTAAATCTGGAACACTTAGGAATGGTGGATAATCAACATCTTCAACTAAATTATGATAAGGCTTCTCCAAGTCCCAGTGGTATTTAAACTCTCTTTCTGTTGTCTTGCCCACTAAAGGACGTTTGTCTATAATATTATTGGCCTCTCGGTTTTTCACTTCTACATAACCTCCTGTTGTGGCTTGGAGATAGAATATTAACCTGTAAGGACACCTTTGTAGTTTGATAATCATAACAATGCACCTAGTTTATCTGCTTTATATACAGTCCAGTCCAATATGAACAAGAGGCCCAGGGGCCACAGCGCTCACCTGAGCACATTAGCTAGGAAAAAGCACAAATCAGATCAGAACTGAGTTTACTAGGGGGGGGGGGGGGGGGGGGGAGGGGAGGGCTTAAAATTATAACCCCCCATAGGGTCATGATTTGAACAAACTAGAATCTACACTACCTGAGGATGATTCCATATAAATATCACTAATCATGGCTTTGAAGTACTTGAAAAAGAAGATTTTAAAAGGTTTCCCTACATATCCCTATGTAAAACTTTGGTCGGCCATTTTGACCCCACCCTAGCCCTGGGGGGTAATGATTTGAACAAACTAGAATCTACACTACCTGAGGATGATTTCACTTGAGTTTCATCTTTCCTGGCCCAGTGGTTCTTGAGAAGAAGATTTTTAAAGATTTTTCCTATATATTCCTATGTTAAACTTTGGTCGGCCATTTTGTCCCCACCCTAGCCCCGTGGGTCATGATTTGAACAAATTTGAATCTACACTACCTGAGGATGATTCCATATGAGTTTCATCTTTCCTGGCCCAGTGGTTCTTGAGAAGAAGATTTTTAAAGATTTTTCCTATATATTCCTATGTTAAACTTTGGTCGGCCATTTTGTCCCCACCCTAGCCCCGTGGGTCATGATTTGAACAAACTTGAATCTACACTACCTGAGGATGATTCCACATGAGTTTCATCTTTCCTAGCCCAGTGGTTCTTGAGAAGAAGATTTTTAAAGATTTTTCCTATATATTCCTATGTTAAACTTTGGTCGGCCATTTTGGCCCCACCCTAGCCAAGGGGGTCATGATTTGAACAAACTTGAATCTACACTACCTGAGGATGATTCCACATGAGTTTCATCTTTCCTGGCCCAGTGGTTCTTGAGAAGAAAATTTTTCCTATATATTCCTATGTTAAACTTTGGTTGGCCATTTTGGCCCCAACCTAGCCCCGGGGGTCATGATTTGAACAAATTTGAATCTACACTACCTTAGGATGATTCCACATGAGTTTCATCTTTCCTGGCCCAGTGGTTCTGGAGAAGAAGATTTTTAAAGATTTTTCCTATATATTCCAATGTAAAACTTTGGTCGGCCATTTTGGCCCCATCCTAGCCCCGGGGGTCATGATTTGAACAAACTTGAATCTACACTACCTGAGGATGATTCCACATGAGTTTCATCTTTCCTGGCCCAGTGGTTCTGGAGAAGAAGATTTTTAAAGATTTTTCTTATATATTCCTATGTAAAACTTGGGTCGGCCATTTTGGCCCCACCCTAGCCCCGGGGGTCATGATTTGAACAAATTTGAATCTACACTACCTGAGGATGATTCCACATGAGTTTCATCTTTCCTAGTCCAGTGGTTCTTGAGAAGAAGATTTTTTAAAAATGCCATTAATTTTTCTCTAATTCATAATTATCTCCCCTTGGAAAAGGGCGTGGCCCTTCATTTGAACAAACTTGAATTCCCTTTACCCAAGGATACTTTGTGGCAAGTTTGGTTGAAATTGGCCCAGTGATTCTTGAGAAGAAGATGAAAATGTGAAAAGTTAACGACAACAACAACGAAGACGACAGACAACGGACAAATTTTGATCAGAAAAGCTCACTTGAGCCTTTGGCTCAGGTGAGCTAAAAATCGTAATGTTACTTAAAATTGTAATATTACCAGACATCGTAATATTACAGAATATCGTAATATTATTCTTATATTACTATTTTTCGTAATATAGTTAAATTACGAAAACTCGTAATATAGCAAGTTGTGAGAGACTATATTATGAGTTTTCGTAATGTAAGACAAAATAAGCATTGAAAGAAACTGAACAATGTTAAGGAAAGTATGACGTCAGAAATACATTATGCCCCAATGGTACTAGTATCTAGTGGTCATTTCGGTCAGTGACGTCTATCGAAAAGTATGAAAATGCATGAAGAAAGTAACAATAGCAATGGGTGAGTGAAAAATTTGTTTTATTATTCTTATATAAGAATTTTCCCATGGATGGGAACAATTTTCCATAAAACTTCAATGTATCCTCAAACTTGTCACAGTGTTCTATAATCCCCGAATTCCCTATATTTTTCCCGAAGTCTACCCTAAAAATCAGACCCTCATCTCCAACAACGAGATGTTACGTGGGATAACTTGTACAACTTTCACTAGGCTCTGACTCTGCATGCACTTGGATCAAATGCATCAAAACAAAGAAAATACATGCATATCCACGATGATTTGATGAAACCAGAGACATAAAATCTCTGATGAAACATAACAAGGAGGTTGAATCAGAAAAAAGGGAAGTAACTCTTAGAAGAGTTAGAAATTGCTTATATTACGAATTTTAGTAATATTACGATTTTTCGTATTGGACTGGACTGATATTCCCCATTTTCAAAAGGTGAGTTATTTCCCCTGAAGTGAACTCTTTTACTGTGTTTAATACGCATGCGCTATAAATAAAGTCACTTCCGCGGACGTTCTTGATGTAAACATGTTCATGGTGTATGCCTCTGTCATATGGAAAAATGTTATTGTGTTTGTGAATAAAAAGAAATCTTAACTGATTCGTATTTTTTTAATATTGCCCACTCATAGTCTCTTTCTGGATTTGTATTAATCTGTGTAGTACTATAATAAGGTGCTGTGTGACCCCCCCCCCTTACAAAAAAAAGAAACAAATTACTATTAAAATGCTGATACATATTCGAATAGGCCTATTAAAAAAAACACACACAAACAAAAAAGCTAATTTTCGGTAGTGGATGTTCTGCAGACGGATCATCATTATTTACAAAATGTGCGGAACAAATTTTTAGTTATAAAGTTTTTACGAATTAATCTAGCCTGCTGCAGCCATATTTTCATTGTATCTCTAGGAATTTTTTGAAGACTGATGACATGTCCATCTACAGTTTTACCTCTGAAATTGCTGCATATACAGCAGTAGTTCGTCTTCCGCTACCGCGATACCAAGAAACTGCGTTTTTGCTCGATTGTATGTCATAACATAGAGCTTTTACTTACAAGAACACATTTGGTGACAATTAAAGGCCTATTTCATTTGAATTAACCGTGTTTCTAGAATTTTCTATTTGTAAAATAATTGATTCACTATTTAGTATTAAAACTTTGAATGGAATTCTAAATGAATAATTTAATCTCATGTGTAACGAAGAAAGACTAATTAAAATAGCATCGAACTGAATTCGTGTTACATATGTCGTATAAAGTCTGAGCTGCATTTAATCAAAGTTTTAGTGTAGGATCTAAGCAACATGTATATTCCCGAGTAAAATACACATTTTGTTTTAGATCAGAGAATTGAAAGCAGAAACACGAAATTGATACAATAATTTCCTAGCGTATTTCTCGTTAATTAACTGAAAACAATCTTTTCTCAAGTGTTATTTATTTTTTTAAAATCCTTTCAGTGTAAGTACATGTATTTATTTTTATAAGTTATTCTTTTTTTGCAAAGTGTGTAAATAAACGATATCAGAGAGAGAGACCCCCCCCCCCCACACACACTCAGTTTATACTACGGTAAAGTTATATAAGGGAAATGTAGTATTGTATGCCAAGGAACTGGTACTGAAATAAGTATTAGCTTTTTCAACTTTGGGCAAGGTTTTTCTTTGCTTGCCAACTTTTCCAGGTAAGAAAAAAATATTTCTTTGGCTAACCCCCCCCTTTTAAAGACGATGCTACGTGCCTGGCTAATTCGTATAGCTTTCTAGAAAGGGGGGGGGCTAACAGACCCTTTATAAAATAATTTATTATCTAAAAAAATGCAAACCGTTTCCTTCTTTTAAAATTTTTAAATACAGCCTGTAAGTTGATCACTATTTTGTTGGATTATCGTAACATGTAGTCCGCGGAAGTTATGCTAGTGTTGAAGAGTTCCGATTTTGAGGGGAGATAACTCACTTTTGAAAATGGGGAATAGTGGGGAGAGATTTAGAATTTAAAAGAATTTATGCATTTTCATGCACTTTATGATCTTAAGAGCCACACCCAAACTTGAGAACCCATGACCCTAAGGCCATGAATTAAACAATTTTTGTAGAAGGTTTAATGCTCATTACAATTCCAATTTAACGATTAATTGCACTCATTTTAATGGTTTTAGATAACTCCTAAGGCCTGGAGGGGGGTGGGGGATGAAAGAGACCATGAAATTCAAAAAAATGTTTGTCCCCCTACAATCAGTGATGCTCTATGCCAAAACTGGTTGAATTCAAGTGACTTGCAAATTAGATAAATGCATATAAGTTCATGTAACTCCTATATACATACAATCTTTAATCTTTAAGAATTAGTACTGTATGTATATACTGGTACTATCTTTATTCATAGAAAGATTTTCAAAATCAGTACTTTTAATGTCATACATTAATAAGCAATTTTCAATTTAAAATTTCTGAATTATAGGTCAAAGGACACAGAGCATTACACCACTGGTGTCAAAATATGAATTTTAAGAATAAAGAAACACATATTCAGTGACTTGTTGATGAAAGTATACAAAACATACTGATCATTGTGTTTCAAATCCAGCAGTGGGCGTCCTTGATTGTAAAAGGTTTTTTTGCATGAAAATGATGTCGTGTTTGGAGCTCTTTCTGACACCCCCTCACAAATGTGAATCAGTTCATCAATTTTACTTCCTCCTGCAAATAAAAACAAATCCCTTATGTTTGTAGATATTTTTTAAAGAAAATTAAGTAGATAGGGCTGTGATGGGTAACCAAAATGACCCGGAAATGCGGAACATTTAATTTGGGTCGGATTTGGTTCTGATTTTAGGAATCCCGTTTGATTCTGATTTGTAAATAGAGTAGGTTTTACCATGAAAATGGCATCTAAAACGAAATGTTCATTAGTATAATTACCATTATAATCAATGTGATTTGTTTATTTGAATCATTTGGTTCAATTATTTTTCTAGTTAGGAAACCACCTTAAACTAGTCATTATGTTGCTGTTTCTTAAATTAAACAATTTTGTTGAATATAATTCAAATCATGATTTTTTATTTTATTATATGCCTGAACCGAAAAACCCGAAACCGAACCTACAAAATTTAGAATGGACCTGACCCAAAAAATTATGGAACTGTGAGAGCTCTATAGATAGAGTCAGAAATTTTCTACATTACAAATTTCTTAGATGCTCTAAAAATAAATATCACAAGTTTTCAAAACCCTGCATTTCTCAAAAAAAAATCTTACCCCTAAATTGACGTAATTTAGTAGATGCAAATTTAATTCCATATCTAAAGTCAGTGACGTAATGATCTAATCCCTTGATAATTGGAGGGTCTCCTGGAGTCTTTAAGAAGGCATCCCATTTTGTGACTGCTCTGACCCAGATTACGTTGTTGGTCCAGCGGGTGGGCTGCGGAGGACCCTCGTTCAAATCGGCAGGGTTTGCCAAGATACTCCCTGTCGGATCTTCTAATTTACACTCGTTCTCCATGATTGAGGCCTCTGTTACAACTGTATAATAAATACTACAGTCAGTGGTAATTTATGCTTTCATATATCTCTGAGCTTTTCTACATGTATTTTAATAGTTACATGTACACTGGTTTTCTTTAGATTTTTAAATGTAATGCCATTCAATTTCTATTTCAATTCCTGAATCCCAGGGGTGTATAATTCAAGGGAGAATTTTCAACTCTTCATTATATGATTTAAAACAAAAAACACTTCACTTGCATAAATTCATTATAACTAAATGTTACTCTGATTATAACCATTGGTTTACTGTAATAGCCTACTTTTTTCGCAATGGATTCCCTCGAAGCCCGGGGTACAATTACACTGGGAGGCCAGGCCCTCAGTACAGTTCCCTGGGTAACACCTCGTACTATCCGATCTCCAGGAACAGGCCTCTGAAAGAAACAGAACTTATTCTATACTGTACAGTAGGAAAATAAATCAGGAGTTACTACCAGGGTATTCACTATTTGTGCAGAAAAAAGAATATTGCAATTTCAACATATAGTGAATAAATCTTTAAAAAGGGATATCAAGGATCAATCACTGACTAGTTAACTTTTTCGTGTTTTTAAAGCTCAATTGATAAATAAACTTCCAAATAACTAAACATTTAACTTTCCCCCCTTGCGTATTACTTATCCTAATATTACCTGAAATCGAGACACTTTAGCTTGTGTAGTAAAACCAACACCGTTACACATTAAACTTAATTATTCAACAGTTGAACATTATGGCAATTATAAATATTAAGAAAAGAAAACAAGGGAAAGATAATTAAAATTCAAAGGTATATATGGGTCTGGTATATTGTTACATTTAATTGGGTTCAACATAATCATTTTAACATAAGGAAAAATACTTGTAGTGCTGGAAAAAAAATTGTTTAATACATTTCCTTTTCACAAATTGCAAACTGCAAATAGAAGAAATCACAATCTTTATGGAGCGTTATTTTAACCTGATGTTCAGTAGTATCCAAGCCTCAGCAAATCTATCAGTAAGGAAATCTAACAGTCAGTGACTGAGTGAGTTTATCTATTTTATTTGTTTATACATGTAAATGGAAAAAAAAAATTATATCAGTATTTTTACAAGAGTATTGGGGTACCTTGTTCTATAACAGGTGACTGCCATGGGTTTCTGTGGCATGAAGTTAATCACATTTCCTTTTACATTTTATTGCGTATCAAATGTACCATGCATGTATAATGTGAAAAGAGGCCAGAGCAGAAAATTTCATAATTCAAAGCTCTTTATATGCATTAATGTATTCATCACATAATCTATATCAATTTACCTAGTATCATTGTGTACCTAGCACAATGACAAAACTTACTTTTAATACCGTATAATCCCATTAACCGCCCCTGCCCCTATAAGCGCCCCCTTTGGTCTTTTTTTCATAAATTGTCAGGAAATAAGGACCATCTGTACAGTGACTAAAACCATATATAATTGTACATATCAATAGTCTGGCAAAATTTGAAGAAAGTGAAAACAAAACCTGTCTATATAATCCAATTTCTTGGTAGAAAATGAATCTTTTAGTTTAATTTGGGTGGTCAGAGTATCTTCACTTAAAGTAAAGTTAAAACATTATATAGTGGTTGTTTGAGTTTATTTTTTTTTTCTCCGATTTTTTAAAGTTAAAATATGACTTTGAATATCATAAAGAGAATACTAAAATAACCTTCTGTTTGCAATTTTCTAAGCGCCCAGGGCGGTTAATGTGTATCATACAGTATCTTTAGGCAGGAAATGGAATTTTATCATCTACACAAAAATAATTAAATGTTTCTGATACTTTAAGTTAATGCTATGTCAACACTAAAATCAAAGCTGTCATTTAAAATAAAGCCATCAGACAACCCAGTTGAGCTCTGTGAAAAAACACTTCTATTATGGAATTCTATTCTAATTTATCCATAGCTTGAATTGCTTAAAACTTAAATTTTTCCACTTACTAACCTAAAAAGGAGGGATTTTAATATTAAGCATCAATGTTAAGGCGCTTTTTTGAACAACTTTCAGAATTTGAAAAATAAAATTCAATCTGTGCCTTAAATTTACACCATTATCTCAATTAAGCCTTGGTCTGGAGTTCATTCACAGCTCTATACTGACTGTGGTTGTTTGATTACAGAAAGCCTCATCATTTCCAACAATCATGCCTTATGTATGATGTCATAAACAAACGAAAAATGTAATTACCTGGTAGATAATGAAAGATCACAAAGGTTATTTTCCAACTACACGTATGCTTTACTTGCATTTTAAGACAAGCATTCTGAGAGTATTGCATAAGCAATACATGTCCCCTACTGGGTTCCCCTTTTTCTTTAGGATGTCATTTCATAATATTAAGGTGAAAATTCAACTCATTTTACAACACTTCATATTAATGTTGGCCATCCGAATTTAGTGCAGCACAAACCCAATCTTGAACGATTATGAAATTTTAAAAATGCCATAATTTTGTCAAAAATCAATGAAGCAAAATGACATTCAAACTTAATCTGTAACTATCAAGATACATTCACATACCAAAAATCAGTTCAATATCTGCAAGCATTCAGAAAAAAAATTCGGAAAACCAAGTAGAACAGACAGACAACCAGGGACAGACAGACGCAGAGGAAACCTATATTCCTCTCCAGGATCTGAAGAAACCCCATTCAGGGTCATCTTCTGGTGACCTCTCAATTATCCAATCAAACGTTCACTTCCAAAAATAAAGAAGAGTCTCAGAATTGTCTGATGAGACTGTAGCTCTACTGGTCTGTACTTATAACAAAGGAAAAGTAGCACTTGGATTAGGAACTTTGCAACAGACAGCAATAAATAGAATTATGTATCTTAGTGTAAGTTTACATATGTGCCAAGTTATATGTATATTGAATTTAGACCAAAACTTTAGGAGGAATAGCATTTTAAAGGAATTTCTATTTTTAGTGACCATGGCAACACCGTTCATCGAAAGCAAAAACAGATGCACTAGATTATGTTTCTTAGTGTAGTCTACTTGTGTGCCAAGTTATATTGAGATCAGACCAAAACTGTAGGAGGAGTAGCATTTTGAAAAATTGTATACAGACAGATGGACAGTAAAACTGACGGACAACAGACACCTTACTATCGCATATGCTCTTCTGGTCTCTGATAATAATGCATTTTCATATATAATCTATATAGCCCCACCCTAGCACTAAAACCCCTGACCATTGGGCCATGAAATTCACAATTTTGGTAGAGGACTCAATGCTGATTACAATCATGCTGACAGTTTGACTGCTTGATGTCCAGGAGTAAAGAAGATTTTTAAAGATTGCATTAATTTTAGTGGTTTTGGCCCCACCCCCAGGCCCCAGGGGGGCAGGGACTATGAAATTCACAATTTTTGTTCCTTCACCCATAAATACTATATGCCAAAATTTGTTGAAATTGGTTAAGCAGTTTCAGAAAAGAAGCTGAAAATGTTCAAAAGTTAGCACAAGACACACGACGGATAGTAATAGGTCACCTGAGTTTACTCAGCTTAGGTGACCTAAAAAAGAAATAACACATACTTCAACCAAAATAATAACTAGATATCAATGAGATGGTGGCCATCTCAAAGGGCCCCACTTTTAGTTATGAACATGAAAATGTAAGGTAGCTGAAAAGGGTTTATTTTGAAGGTGTTTGAGATTAAAGGAGACAAAAAATAAGTACTTCCTGAAAAATAATACAATTAAAAAACTTTAAGAGATGTGTCCTCTAAGAAAATTGTTGCATATCCTCTATCAAAATATGGAAGGAAAATCACAAATGTTACGTACCCAGTCAATTTGTTTGAGGCTGAGTGGACTCAAGGGAAAGAAATTATGCTCCGAACAAAGATTTTGAACAGAGAGGCTATTTTTGACCATAAAGCTGAACACGATTCGTAAAAGGAGTCTGTCCGCCATTTTTGTTCCCGAGTTTGCTACTCTGCAGACCCCTATAAATAGGGCAGAGCTTAATCACTGTTCAGTGTAATCAGTCGACACCGGCAAAGACGGACGTATGCTATACAGAACTCGGTAGCGAAAATAATAACGTAACTTCGTCTAATGCAGGAAAATAAGATACCGAATAAGTTAACAATTATAGTTGTGTAAGGCAGTGCAGTATACAAACAAGACAGATAAACGTAACTGCAACAAAATGTAGACAAAGGTAATGCAAGATAACCAGCACAATACGGGTCGCCATTCCATGCTGATACCCGTGACAATAAAGCAGTCAGGTGTAACGAATGCGACGAGTATACCCTAGTATTGATGTATCGTAAATAATAATATCAAAATGGCATATGCCTATTTACGAGTCGTGTTCAGCTTTAAATTGACCTAGAAACTTTGTTCAAGGTCACTGCACATCCATTGACCACTAGCAGTCTGTGAGTTAAGTATGAGTCACATTGGACAAAAGCAAGAAAATGCTGCGGATAAGGATTTTTCATGTAATTCTGTTATAACCTTAATTTTTCACCTAGAAAGAAGGTTCAAGGTCACTGCACACCCTTTACTCAAAGGCACTCTGTGGGTGAAGTATGGGCCAGATTAGGCCAAGGAAAGAGAAAATATGCTCCAGATAAGAATTTAAACATAAAGGCTATTTTTGACCTTGACCCTTGACCTAGAAACTTTGCTTAAGGTCACTGCACATTCATTGACCACTGGCACTCTGTGAGTGAAGTATGAGCCACATTGAACAAAGGGGAGAGAAGATATGCTCCGAACAATGATTTTTATGAAATTCTTCTATGACCTTAACCTTTGACCTAGACACATGGTTCAAGGTCACTGCACACCCTTTACCCAAAGGCACTCTGTGGGTGAAGTATGAGCAATTGGGCCAAGGAGAGAGAAGATATGCTCCGGACAGAAGATCTCGGACGGAAGGACGGACGAACAGACTGATCACTATTGGGCATCCGCCAAGGGCCCTAATAGCAATAACAAGAATCTCCTTGCTGCATTGATTTTGCCCTGATTGAGAGACTAAAAATACTTTTTTTTGGCCTTAATCAAGTTAATGGTGTTTTGTGATAAATGTGATACAATGCACACTTCAGAGTTCTCTCCCCTTTGTTTTTTTCTCTTAGTAACATAATTTAATTAAAATAATCACATACTACAAGTTGTAATTAATTTTTTCCATATCTGGATCTAAATTAAACTATGGATATGATCAATATCTTAAAATCTTTCTCTAATAATCTAAATGCAAATAAAAGTCCTAATGTAGGAAATCCTTATGGGGTCAGTAAGTTCACTATCACACCATCAAACAATTTTAATAAGGGTCAATGGTGTGATAATGTTATATGGAGCAATAAGAATGCAGCAATGTTGATGAAGCGATAGAATGATGACAATGATGTCTCAATGGATCATCATCATCCTGCCATCACATCAATGTCATCACACAATTGCACAATCTCTTCATCATATCATCATCGCACTATTGTGTCACCCCACTATTGATTCAAAACTCCAACAATGCCCAATCAGGATTCCATTAAAATGTTAGATAGGAAATTCCTCAATTAGACATGTGCATTTAATTGTTAACTTAAATCCTGAAATCACAATCCAACTATGATCATTCAGGATAACCAATTGATCTTACTTTCACATTTCTTTTTCTGACTGGGGACTGGTGTGTAAGCTCTGTAATAATCCTTCTCCACCACCTCCCCCTCACAGTAAACACAGATGTTATCCCCCGGTGAAGTACATTTCCTGTGGTTGCAATTTGCAATAGGAGGACAAACTGAAATGAAAATCAAAGTACTGAGAGACAGTACTGAAAGACGGCCGGGGTCAAAATAATTTTCATGCTAGATTTCACAAATGTGCTTTTTTTAAAACGAGTTTTGATAATTTTTTAATTAACAAACTAAAAACAAAACTGTGAATAATATAAATTCACGTTTTTCATTTGATTTGAAGTAGAAATTTCAATAATTGCTAAGTCTAGAAACCTTTTTGAATTGTCCGAATTTCACCTGGTCCGAATTAATATTTCTCCGGAAGTAAAAAAAGGATGATGCGTACGCAGTTGTAATACTCGCAGCGCAGGAGAGTACTTTGTTTACTAGTGTGTTTACAATTAATATTTTGAGTTTACATTTACAAAATGCTTCATTAATTTGATCTAGAAAAAAGTTCATATCGCTTTCTTCAGTTTGATACAGAATGTTTATGTTTTGGTCAAAACAATTTCTGCACTCTTTCATATAGCGTAGATTTAATTCATGTGTTATCACCACGGCTTCCTGTTTGAGGGCTCTGACAGTAAACTAATAGATGGGGTCACGTGACCCCGTCTAAAAATGAACCAAATCATAAAGTCATACTATAGACTTTCACATTTAAAAAATAATTAAGTCATTTCTTTTTAAAGCCTAAGGTCAATCAGTATTAACCATAATTTTCCCTCAGTAATGTAAATCACTAACTTATGGAGCAAACAACTTACATTTGTATAAAAAATGTTTGGTTCTTACAGTGTTTTCCCTAAGAATTGGCTAACGGCCAAATTGACCGCTTCGATTGATAAAAATGTCGCCTAGAAATCAAAATTTCTTGTAAGGTTAACATAGTTCTGTTCATTAACATCAACCCTTAGCTCGTAACAATCAATCTTCAACCCTTCACTTTAAAATAAAGGGAAAACACTGTGCTTAATCTTTCATGCGAGTGTATGTAAAATGGGTGGGCAAACCCGGGCCATGCAAATTAAAAGCCAGGGCAGTTCAAGATTTTTCAAATATTTTCACTAAGACTACCAATTTATTTGAAATTTTCAGGTTATGTTTCTCGAAGGTTCTTTTGTATGCCAAGTAAATATTGCCGTAATATACGCAAGATTTATATTCTATGCAGTTGTTCATTTCCGAGTTGGTAAAATGGGTAGGCAGAATCAACAACACATTTTACAGTATTTTTGAATTAATATGCATAAATGAATCATTATAGTTGTAGGCTTTTCTAATATTTTAACTCGATATTAATTAAATATAATTAGTTTGCGTGTGATTAAATTAAAGCCAGTGGTATGGGATTCTGCATTTATTATATATATGTACAATAAAAGTCATGTAACTGTGAAATCAGAGACATATAAAATTCATATTTATTATTTATATGTCTCTGGTAAAATTTTCTTATTAATAAATTTTCTATTAAAAAATTAAATACAAGCTTAAAAAAAAAAGGGATTTTTTTTTCAGACAACAATAATCTCCAGTAAAATCAGGTAACCTGTACAATTATGCGAGTTTTTTAGGTTTGTCCTGGGTGATCGGATGTGGTTTTAATGGTAATGGGACAGTTCACCCAATTGACGTTTTGCGCTGAGACCATTCGCCCCATAGACCTTTTGCGCTGAGACATTTCGCGCCGATTTTAATCTACTATTTCCTAAAAGTAAAACAACATATTTTGCTGTACGTTTTATGATAAATGTATATATATATATATATATATATATATATATATATATATATATATATATATATATATATATATATATATATATATCATGATTAATTCGACTAAATTTCAAAAGTAAAAAAAAAAAAAAACTCTGATAAATGCTTATATATTTATTAATTGTTGCCAATGGGCCTATGTCTTAATCAGTGTTAATTAGATGTATAAAATAATTATCCATGTGCATATATAATGACGTTTATTCAGCAATTATAATTAATTGTCTGATTCAGTTTTGTAATTAAGGTGTTATAATTTTAATTTGGAGATTCTCCATGCCGTAAGATCAACCAAGAAGAGGTGTCATGCCACCGTGTTGCAGAAAGGAGACTCCCTTGTTAGAATACAATACAATGACAATAAAACATATTTACTGTGATTTTGATTTTTGTTGTTGTCTTTTTATAGAATTCTAGGGATTATGTAATTGCTACAATAACATATACTAGGGTAGGACAACTTATTATACATGGTCAGGTATAAAATACCGGTAATTCAAGCATATGGAAAAATAGAATCAATTTATTCTCTCTCATAAGAAAAGAAATTTACAATAATTATGAATAAGCAGTGATTACCAGAAGACAGTCATAAAATAAATAGACACAATTTTCAAAAAAAATGCTGGATCAATATTTGTCATAAAATTACAGACCAGTATTCTTTGGATGTCATAGTATTTCTATAGAAATAGATTTTTTTTTAAACTTGAGTTGCAAATATTTAAAAATATTTTTATTTTCTAATCTTGTTTAAAGATTCTTGGACACAGATTTGAACTTAATATTTTCTCTATAATATTACAACTAATATATTTTAATAGCATTTCACACAAAAATTCATTAAAAAATCATATTTCAAACTTTAAATTTTTTGGTGGGTTTGATTGACACATCCTTGCACTTTCACAAATTTAACTTTTAATTCTTAATCCTTAGGAAAAGTGGCAATCTTGATGTATATTAATGAAAAATATTAATACTATAATCCAGAAAATTCAGAGTACACATGTTTGATAGCAAAAACAAACACACAATATACTGTCAGTCCGTGCAGTTGTGGTGAACAGACTTTGGCGATTGAACACACCCGGTGAATCGTAAACATCAAATAATAACATATGTTTACAAAAACCTGTGTACATAACATGAGTGTGATCGATTCGCAAAACTCTGTACACAACGGAATGGCGATACTTGTGAAGGAGTTTTGCTTTCTAACATTTCTACTCTGAATAAAATTATTTTTCTGGATTTAAGTTTTAACATTTCTCATTAGTCACACAACAAGATTGCCACATTTCCGAAGTTTTAAGAATAAAGTTAAAATTTGTGAAAGTGCAAAGATGTGTCAATCAAACCTGCCAAAAAATTTAAAGTTTTAATAACTTTTCAATGAAATAAGATTTTTAATATATTTCCGTATGAAATGCTTTTACAATATATATGTTGTGATATTATACAGAAAATATTAACTTCAAATCTGTATCCAAGTACCTTTAAGTAACATGAGTTCATAAAAAAATAGGCCAGACAATTACTTTCTGACTACTGAATTTAAATAACATGGTCAACAAACACGCATGTTTTGAGAATATGTTTAGGTCTTTTTTAGGGGTGGGGGTGGGTGGTATATTGTAAATAAACAAAGGTACAAAACAGTACAAAACATAACTTGATTGAAGTTTTAAAACACAGGTTTACAGATGAGTTAAGAAGGCTTTTGTGAGAAAAATCAGCATTATGCCCATAAAAAGAACAAGAGGCCCATGGGCCAAATCGCTCACCTGAGCACTAAGGGTAGGAAAAAGTAGAAAATGGCTTTTTATTGTAAAGTTTAAATCCAAAAGTAGTCCCATGACCAATCATGGATTTGCTATTTTAAAAAAAAATGATTTTTAAAGAATTCTCCTATATATATCTTTAAAAACTTTGGTCGGCCATTTTGGCCCCGCCCTACCCCTGGGGGTCATGATTTGAACAAATTTGAATCTACACTACTTGAGCATGCTTCCATATAAATATGATGAATTATGGCTTTGTCATTCTTGAGAGGAAGATGTTTAAAGAATTTTCCTATATATTTCTATGTAAAACTTTGGTCGGAGATTTTGGCCCCGCCCTACCCCCAGGGGGTCATGATTTGAACAAACTTGAATCTACACTACCTGAGCATGCTTCCATATAAATATGATGAATTATGGCTTTGTCATTCTTGAGAAGAAGATTTTTAAAGAATTTTCCTATATATTTCTATGTAAAACTATGGTCAGCCATTATGGCCCCACCCTACCCCCGGGGGGTCATGATTTGAACAAACTTGAATCTACACTACCTGAGAATGCTTCCATATAAATATGATGAATTATGGCTTTGTCATTCTTGAGAAGAAGATATTTAAAGAGTTTTCCTATATATTTCTATGTAAAAATTAGGTCGGCCATTTTGGCCCCGCCCTACCCCCGGGGGGTCATCATTTGAACAAACTTGAATCTACACTACCTGAGCATGCTTCCATATAAATATGATGAATTATGGCTTTGTCATTCTTGAGAAGACAGGCGCGTAGCCAGGCGTACGTTTGTACGCACAAACGTCCACATCATTTTCAAAAAAAAAAAGAAAAGAAAAGAAAAAAGAAAGAGAGAGAAGTGGGAGAGAGAGAGACAGGAGTAATATTGTAGAGTGTACTTATCATTTTTGCAAAATATTACGAAATAAATTTAAAAATGAAAAAAAAAAATGAATGACAATTCAACCGAATCAGCTTTAGGGGAAAATACAGTAGTATACACCTCACTAAATCAAAAGATTTTCCCGGATTTTGGTTTACCATCGAATGCTGCTGAGTTTTTCCCAAGTAAGGCCATTCCAAGTTTTTTCTATGTTAAGCGTCCACCCATCTTTCAAAAACCTACCTACCTATTCGCAAAAAAAAAAAAACACAGACTAAAAAAGAAAACACAGACTTTATCGAACAATTGGTCAAATTCAGTCTAACCTTAAAAAAATAATAACACAGCCTGTTCAAGTATGACTTCCGTAACAATACCTTAGAACCAATAGTATATTTTACATGTTTTTATAATTGTTGCAAAAAGTTAAAGATACCAGATTTATGAATACATTGTATTTATGAACAATTCATTTCAAAGTGTATACAATGTACATAGGTAATGTGCATGAAAATGAGTTGAAAAGAATTCTTCTGTCTTTGTTATTTTCAAGCATTTTTATTTATTATTTAGTATTTTTAACATTAATGTAAGTCTGACTA